AGTCGAGACTCCCGGCAAAACTCCAACGGGAGTCCCAAGTTTATGAAAAACTCCAGCAGGAATCGTAAGGAGTCCTGATGACTCTCGCAGGAACTTTCTAAAGTCAGAAGTCCAACATGGAGTCATGAGGAGTCCCAAAAAAATTCCTGCAGGAGTCCTGTTGGAGAAAGTCATGCATGGACTCCTGCAGAACTGCTCAGGGAGCAGAACTTTTTTTCTCGTTACTCCCATGAGAGAAAGTTTATCAAGAGTCCCATGTATCCCTGCCAAAGTCCAGCAGGAGTCCAAATGATCAAAAACAATCTTATTTCATAAGGAGGCCAATCAATGAAACTGATCCATTATATATGGTATAAATACAAAGTGAAATCCGTAAAGGACAAAAGAAAGTATTTTGTGTCATCATGACGAATTCTAGAAATCTTTTAGGCTATAAGACACTAAATCCATAATCGTGAATGGCGCAAACATTTAGAATTTTTCTTTAAATTTTTAACAGCCGTTTGGCAAGTTCTGATCCTTCTCGTTATTTGAAAACTTTGATGGTGTAAGCTATATAATTTTCAGTTTTCTGTTTGCCAGTGTTCAGAAGGCGTAGTTCAAACCAAAATAGACAATACTACAGAGTTTATCTATCGGAATTAAAACTTGGCCTTAAGGTTCAGCTATGAGCATAACAAGTTTGTAACAATATCATAATCGCTGATTATAAGTGATCGTTCCTTTGTAATTATGCCTGTGAGTTTATTCCGATAAGGTTACGTCTCGCGCATACAATGATAACATTGTACCAGGAATATGCGAGAGTCCATCCGTGGATGTCGCGTTAGTAATGAGCCGAACTCAAGTTGAGTATTTTCTGTGAAACGAGGGCGTATTGTCGTCATAGACCGCTCTCCAGGTGCGCCTCACAGAAAAAGACGAACTGACTAATAACTGAGTCTCGCATAACACAGGCGCTCGGCGATCTTACACCGAGGTAACTCACATAATGGCTAGGACAATTAAAACGATAAATAATGCACATATACTTCTAGATTAGACTCCAAACATGCTTCTGCTGAATACCATGTTAGAGCACTGGTGCACACTACAAGTTTTTTATACTCATCATTTAACCTTAACGACGAAACTTAATAATAATAGACAAAAACTTCACTATTGTATATTTTGATTTCAATTATTTCTTATAACATTAGCGGATAGGAAAACAGAAAAATTATGATATTTACATCATGAGATTCGGCATTATCAGCTTGTTAAACAGGTGAAAAATCATGGTGGTTTGTATTCGTTGAGCTGCTTTAGTGACGAATCATTCATTTCTGGGTGTTTTAATAAAATTCCGTAGAGGAAACATACGTCTACCATTTCATATATTTAAGTCGTATTTACTTCATGATAGTACATATGAAAATGATAGGATGTTAACGATTTATGATGTATTTAAAAAATCAATCATATTTGATTCATCCTATACTGATGATCGTATTCAGAAAGAATATTTTTCTTCGTTCAAATCAACATTTATTAAACAATTTTGTTGTGAGATCAGCAATACAAATATTTTTGGACGCTTTCGTCGAGGTCTTGTAGTTTTTCAATCATTAGTTTATAATAGAGCTGGTAGAAAGTTGAGTAATGTAGTATCATTTACTAATCTCGATTGTTGTGTTAGAAAAAACAAATGTTTTGCTGCTATAGTGTGTTTTTTTCATCATAAACATGAAGATTTTGCATTTATTAAAAAATATATTTGTACAAGTGATGAAATAAGGACAAAACGGTCAGATAATATCTCGATGTTGGCTCAGAAATACATTAACCGCTATTACACAGTAGTTAATTTAGATATATTTCGCTATCGTATAATTCCAACAAAAGATATTCTACATAAATGTGTAATTATACCATTTTTGAATACCCATTTGTTCACAGAAGTTGTATGTGTCTATGAACATGACTAAGATACAACGAAAATTTGTTGTTTGCTTCTTTTAATTGTAATTGTATACATGTGAATCAGCTCATAAATTTTGCACCATTCATCATACACATTTTCCAAATGTATCGAACATTTGTGTATTCCACGTTCTTCATCAGCAGTTAATAATATAATTTTGTATAAATTAAATAAATAAATAATTGATTATATTATATAATGGATTGTATTGTATAATTGATTGTAATAATTAATTAATAAATAATTGATTCACATGTATACAATTACAATTACAAGTTTTTCTTTTCTTTTATAATTTTCTAGAATTGCCAAGACACGTGCCAGCCAGCTATATGCCAATTGTAATATTTCATTATAATGTTTGTAGTATCATTTTGAGACTAGTTTCTCTATTTATGAGATAATATTTGTTAATTAAATTAATGTATTCAATGTAATAGAAACATATTTTGTTCCTTGTTGAATAAGATGTCTAAAACCATCACATGTATATAAGACAATATTTCATTATTATGTGAATAATCGAACATCCGTACATTTTGTACTCTTTTTGTAGATTTTAAACATTATAATAAAATAATTGCAATACATTTTGATTTCTTATTTATCTTATAATTTCGTATGATAAAACGCAGGAGTAAAATCATTGCAATTACAATAGATTAGGAGATGTATATGATTATCAGAAACTTTGGAAGCAAACTGTGTACGTTTGAAAATTTTTAGATTACTTACCACCGCTATGATTTGTTTTAAAGCTCGCATTTTTTTCTTACTTTTAAAATGTTTTATGTTGGCAATGCTTAATATTCATTATTGGTTGCGAAAATACCCAGTTTCAAAGCTACTATCTACTAAAAATTATGCCTAATTTTTATTTCTAACAAAATTAGCATTACATTAATGGTACACTTGAATGCTTTTGTACTTTTCACGTATTACAGATGTATAATTCACAATACAACATAGCATTAACAAGAGGAACAAAACGTACTATGTCACTTACACATATACTATTATTGGAAGACGGCACACCAAAACCATTAATTGCACCATTAGACAAATGTGTTGTGAACGAAAAACATTCATCTGTTATTTATCACGTTAATGACAGTCGTACAATATCAGGTACTATCGAATGTGTAGGTAAACATTTGCAGGCCAAATCCTTATCGTTTTCAGTCAATATTTGGCATGCACTGGTTATTTTTATCGGGACTCTCGGGAGTAGTAGTTTTAAAAATCAGTGACACATTTTAAAAAGTTTTCTAGTCTGCAGTTTTGTGCACAAATGTTTGCTCTACCAAATAAGACGTCGCAGACTTTCTCACGGTGGTTTGTCGATGAGATACAAAGTTTTTACTTGAAAAACGGACTGGTTATTAACCGACGGTTAACCGGTTCTATTTTAGAGAAAAAGATTCATATCTCATCGACGAACCACTGTGAGAAAGTCTGCGACGTGCACAAAACTGTCGACTCGAAAAATTTTTAAAATGTTTCTCCGATTTTTAAAACTACTACTCCCGAGAGCCTCGATAAAATAACCGGTGCACGCCTAATCAATATACAGCAACTATAGATATATATATCGTTCGATTAATATTTGTAGGTTCAAAAATGTTGTTTAATGAGAATGAAAAAATTAAATAATGATACATCTGAATTTGAATATGAAGAAATAGATGGTACAGTTGAAAATGAACAACATCAGTGTGCATCTGAACATAATAATGCACTTAATTCAACTGATATGCACGGTAAACAATGTATTTGGTATGTTTAAATAAGTCTATGTATGCAAATAAACATAGTTTTCTCTCTAAACTGGCATCTTTAAGCGTGCGTTATTGTTTTTTCTGCAACTAGACAGCGAATATCGAATTGGACATTAATATCATTATGTTAGCTCTTTAATCAAAAGAAAAGATTGTCCATACTTCTAATTGATTTTCTATGCTTGACATATTTTCTCCCTGTTCGTCATTCTAGTTACTAAATTGTCAAAATCTCGTACAGGAAAGAGAAAACAACAGTAATCTAACAGTTATGGTGTAAAACGTCCACATTCAGTTATACGTAATAAAATATATAGCGCTAGTAAGTGACAAAGACTGCTACTTGGCACATAATTACGTTTAAAGTTCAATTGTTTCCGTTAAAACAATTTCTTTCGTCTTAGTTTCGAATCCAAGTGAACAGATTTATGACAATACTCATAAAAATCTTCCACTAGTAAATGAAAATATACCAGTATTAGTTAATCGTAAACAATTTAAATTGACATCATCAAACACATCATTGTCATCATCCTCTGCATTACGAGTTATTTCATTAAATAATGAAACAACCAATCTACAACAACAAACAACAGCAGAAATAACTGTAGCTGATGGTAAGCTTACTTTGTTTGTTATTTCACTATATCTATTGATTTAAAACTGTGTTTTAACAGAGTTTTATTACTTTATTAGCTACTTTTAATTTTAATTTTTTATGTTTAGATAACAGCAACAATATTGTCGATATTTCTCGTATGTGTTATGATTGTGTTTCAGAACATTTGCTGCAGCAAATGTTCTGAAACACAGAAATACTAGACAAATTAAAAGAGAGAACAGCATGCTGTTCTCTCTTTTAATTTGTCTAGTATTTCTGTTTACTTCAGATGATTTTGTTGATGAAATGAATGTACAAAATTCAAATAATAATAGTACTCAATTGTCTATTACAGGTGTGTTCTACGTATATTATACAGCACACAAAACAAAAACTGTAGCTCTTGATACCAGCCGTAGCTAGGTTATTTAAAGTTCAACTGAGAAATATAATGTAAAAAAGGATAAAAATCAATTGTAACTTAGTACCTCTTCTTGATAAAGTTGGATTGCAAAGTTAATAATGCAAATTGTAGCCCTTTCGGTAAAACAACATGTTTCATCATTGTTTGTTTCACTTTTCTATTCAGCTCCAACTCAGATAAATACACCACCATTATTAAATTCATCATTACCAATGCAGAATAATTCACAAAGTCGATTACAAATAAGTCGAACGCAACCACAATCGTTATCATGTCCATCAATAATTAAAAATACAAAGCAATTTTCAATGCAAGGTCGTCCGCAATTACTACCAGATTCAAGACATCAACGAAAAGGCAAGATTACTGCTTCAATTGATCTAAATATATTCTTATGAGAATAGCATGAACTTGATGACCACCATCATCATCATCATCGTCGCCATTATCACGACCAACTACTTCAACTATATCCTTTGAATTATCTAGAGGTTAGTAGCATTTCAGTATTCGATTCTTAACAACAAAAGTAGCTAAAGAACCTACAAAGAATTCATATATTTTTTTCTATTATAGATGAAAAAATAAATTTATTAGACTCAAAAACAGATACTTTGATGGAGCATGTTGATAAATTATCAAGACAAATTAATTCATTAACAAATATTGTAAAAGAATTAAATGGTCTAGTAAAAATCATAAAAGAGGTTATAAACGTTTTACACAATCATTCTAAATGAATATTTGGAATGATTTTTTTTTATATTAACTTTTTCTGCACGATATATACATGTTTGTATTAATTGTACTTAAGTTTCTTTTTTTAGAATTTATTTATTCTTAATCGATTTAATATGACAGCACCAACATCAAATGCTGATCAGCACAGAAAAAATAAACAGCAAAAACCATACGATACTAGTTTATTAGTAAGCAATTCATTTCTGTGCGCTTTGCGTTACTTAACGTTATATTTTAATAAATCCATTCACTAGACATTTGAACTTTTAATCAGACGATAAGAAATAATGTGGTTAATTGTACGTTCAAAGGATAGAATATATTGCAACAGCTAGGAAAATATTGAGCGCTGGATGTTGTTATTATCCGCCTACTGAAACACTTCGATAACATGCCATACATCAGACGATGAGTTTCAATTCCGTCGTTTCTAACTTGTATATTTTTATCACTTCTCAAGCTATAGTTTCTTTAGAATAGCTAGATATGGATAATTTGATATTGCTATTTTCTTTTTCAGGTATATAATAACATTGATTTATTGACATTCAAACATGAATTAACAATGAATTAACATGAATTTACAAGAAAATGTTGTATGTTTATATATAATCGAAATGAAATATTACAAGGAATTCATTTAATCAGTAGTGAACGTTCACGCATAATAATAAGTAAGTTTGCAGTTTCGAGTAATAACCATTTTTTTTCATAAAAGAAAGTCCTATTCTTATTTAAAATAATTTGTATTTTACTATGCCTGTCTTATACTGAACATTGGATTTATTATTGAGTACACCTTTTTATGATTTATAGATGCTATCAAAGCTGCTTATCATTTGAACGATTATTCAACTTTACCATATATATCCTGTATTAATGAAGGAAAAAGACAATTAAGTCCTGTAGAAAAGATGTGCTGAGTTTTGATTGTGAAACTACGTTTATTTCCGGAGTTATAATCTGGATTACTAACCATTTGAACACCTCAATCACAAAAGCTCAATGTTTCTCAGGCCCATATGTTTTAGAGGAAATCTAATGACAGATTCTTGTGCGCTAGTATCAAGGCTTTCAAACCGTACGATAAAAGTGGACGATTACGGGGGTGGTGGATTTGGGTCTTTCTTGACCCACCAAATAAGCAAAGAAATCGTCTTTCTTGCGTCAAGAAATACAAAAAATAATCTTATTGCAGGCAAGAAGGGCAAGAAGGGTATTTTTTCAGCAAACTCTTGAAATCAACTTAAACACCTTGTAAGTTGAACCAAAGTTGCTGCAAGAAGTGTCCCACTTTCTTGTTTTTTTCTTGCTTTCTTGTAGCTTCTTGTATCAAGAAGTTCCACTAGGGGTGTCATTCGTACAAGAAATACCCGATAATGCATTATCACATAGGCCATACAACGTTACTCTCATTCTATGTTTCGCACATTAATTGTTTCTGACTAAATCATCAGTATGTTTCAATGGTTACCATATCTGCAGTGTCATCATTTTGATTGAACGCAACGTTGCCTTTTTAGTCATTAAACCTGAAAAAGATAACGATAGAGAAAAAGACTGATAAAACTGTCTTATTGCGAGTTTCTGTTGTCTATTGTTGTGTGCTGATACAAAACATATAAAAATTCTACTTAAGTTAAATAAAGTTTTGAAATGCAATTTGATATGCATATTTCAGATGCCTGTTGCTATGGATCGATATGAGAGAAGAATGAATAATTAATCTTTCTAAATATGCTAACATAATAGTCGAACAAAAATAGTTTCTCGTTTGAATCAGGCAATGAACATACATAACTTTCGCGGCTGTGCAAATTTCTATAAACTATAACTAGGCATGCACCGGTATACATACCGAAAATACCGAACTTCGGTATATACCGATACCGAAAATAGCGACTTTTTTCACTTGAAATTTTTTTGATTTTTCATTTGAAATGAGATGTTTTAGCGTCCTGGACACTCAGAATGAATCAGGGACGGAAAACAAGAGCTTTGTTTGCTTTCGAAAGCCAAAGTTTTTCGTTTTTTTCTATCTGTACATGCTCAAAATACACAGCTGAGTGTTGTTTATACGTTCTGCCTGTCCAGGATGCTAAAATACCTCATTTCAAATGAAAAAATCCAAAAAATTCCAAGTAAAAAAAAGTCGGTATTTTCGGTATCGATATATACCGAAGTTCGGTATTTTCGGTATTCCGTATACCGATACCGGTGCATACCTAACTATAACATCGATTTTAAAAAAACGAAAAGAATGTTGAAGACGAATAGCACTTACGCTTGATTTAGATGCTTTTTAAGTACAAGACAACTAAAAATTAATAAATTAAATTAAAAATTATATTTATCCGCATGTTTTTGTGGTAATTTCTAATATAGTTTTAACTAATTGTAATATTTAAAGTAGAAAAAACAGTAATGATATTAGCGCAGATGGCAGATATGTGAAATATTTCAAATTAAATAGTGTGCAAGGGTTGATTTCGTCACACTGTACGGATGAATCTTGAAACTTTTGTATTTTCAAGTCGATAATTAACGTTTGATTCAGTACGACATCCTTAATCAAAATAATAGTAAAAGTTCTCAGAATTCGATCGAATAAATTTGTCAACATTTATCTTGAAGGCCTGGTTGAAATCGAGGTAATTACTGGATAGAGAGAGATTTTAGAGTAAATTAAGAATGTTTCCGCAAAGTAAATTTTCGGTCAGGCGACAAAAACCACACACATGAGGTATATTTTCTTTTTCTTTTTTGTAAGCAAAACGCATGTGAACTTAACCTGTCTTGTTTTATCTTTTGATGCTGTCAACGTTATTTTTTCCTTTATAGATTGCTTATTACTTGCATAACATTAGTCATTTTTTCTTTTTGCATGAGTATGTCGCTGTAATTTAAAATAAAATATGTTATTTTTTTTATACAGCAAGAAATGAATGGCAGCTTTTTTTCTTTCATTACCTGAAAAAAGTAAAGCACATAATATAATATAGAGACAATATAAACTATATTTAGAGACAGCTGTTCTTTGTACGTTATGATTTTGTATTGTTTTACTAATTAAATTTTTTTCAGTTAGTGACTCAGTGTTTCTTAAAAGTAAACGTGCGATGGATCTTATTATTTCACTTTATGATCGATGGTTTATTTCAAAATATATTTTTAATTCAACCACATGGCCCGAAAATGACATTGTTCGACAGTTTATTACATTGACAGCACTAGTGAACATTCATGCAGTTATAATCTACATTGCATTGGGAACATTTAGTTATTTCTTCCTTTTCGACAAGAAACAGATGGAACATCCATTATTTTTAAAGGTATAATGGCTGACGTCTAACGGTTTCATTTTTCTATATCCAACTCTATGGTTCAACTAGGACATATTGTTAAGAATACCCCCTCATTTTAGAAGATATTTTCATCTTTAAGACAAACGTGATGTGATATGTGATATGACAAAGAAAGACTACTCCTTGCTCTCCACGGCCTCCCGTTGTACAGATACGAGCTTTTAAAAGTTTCTCACTTGACTGTAAAGAAAAATGCGATTTTCTCACTTTGGAAAACATTTTTCTTTATTTCGACATTTGAAACCTTTTTCAGATAGTTAGTCTTGTGGATGAAGAGTTCTGAAGAAGACGAGATGTCACCCAACTCGACACCATGCTTTCTGATAGAGTTATGATCATTTTGCTGAAAGCCCTGAAAAAAATGAGTTTCGCGTTGTAACATACCTAGTTCAAAACATCTTTTTTTGCTAGTGCACTCAATTGACGTTGCTTACGCTTTCTCTGAAAGGTCACCTTATGGGGTTGACATTTCCAACACAGTTACTTAAGATCAGAGCCCAAAATGAATCAGGAAATCCTGAATCCGTTCAGTTCGATTTGGGCTCGTCCAATGAAAATTAAAGCTTGCTTCTCTTTTGTTTAAATAGATATACGGGCATGTCGCCTGAAATGTCTAATTCACAAATATATAAAAATATTATTGAATCTCGAAGATTTTTAAGGAGTTTTGTAGAAAATTCTGCAGTTCTCTGAGGCGATTATTACACCTGTGTACATGAGACACGCTAGATAGCGCTTTTTCAATAACTAACAAAGATAAAGATCTGGGGTTTTCAGCAACCGAAAGAAGATACTTTTACCTATGGTTTCGTATGAAAGATATTTTTCGATAAATATACGAAAGATCGGTTTTCTAGGAGGTCTTTAGAAAACCAGTTTGGATCTGCGGATACTGAGATGGCAATCTATCAATTTTTCTCCATAGGTATATAGTCCAAAGTGTTCTCTCCTAAATAGGAACTAAGAGAAGTCTTAATTTTCCCTAGTTCTGGCGTGGCATCGAAGTTCCTGAGGGTCCCAGGATCAATATTTCTTTAGATGTGGTAATTCCGAAAACGAATGGAAACATAAGTAATCAATCACGATGAATCTCGTGGCAACATTTATTTTTCAAATAAGTTCCAAAACCTAGTGAAAACCTATATGAGATGAAATAGCCTATTTTTGCCTATTTTTGAGTAAAATTAAAAAACTCATAACTCAGTCAAAACCCATCCAAACTATGTCAGACTATCAAAATGTACTCTGTTTTATCTGCTCAGTGCTTTTCCGCAGTGCAAGGATATTTTTTA